TTTCTGTTGTCATTCCTAGGCATTTGGCAGCATTGTATAGCATTCCTTCAGACCTCTGTTTTAAAGAATCCTAAGAGGAAAGGTAATGGTGAGCTGGCAACAACTAACAAAAAGGAAAATGTAATTATGAAAAATTATCATACTGATTTAAAGAAGTAGGATAGACCTAATTAAGAAGTAGGAACAAGAGTATGTGTACAGCAAAAGCTGCACTCCTAGCAGTGCTGCTGTGCTTAGAGTGGGAGTTAAATCTAGAACAGAGCAAGCCTGAGCTCTTCAAGCCAGTAGAGGAGCACAGTGGAAAACAGCTGGTAATGTTTTTCAAATGAATTTGTTCCTCCCAGCAGGAGGAACAATCAGCAATAATTCTACAGGTAGACTGGCTGAGAGTTAAAACTCTCAATTAGTGTATGTCAGCATGACAAACTGAAAGGGTTCATTGCAGAAAACTTTTCTTCAGAGTACTTGATTTTTGTTCTGTTCTTTCTCTTGAAGATTGGCTTCTCTTCAAAGACGCTGAGACAAGAGCAAAAACTGAGTTATTAAGAAAAAGAAATCTCTATCATTAATATTTATCATCCTCCTGCCAGATACATCTCAAGACAAACTGTTGACAGGAGATAATTGTTGCTTTATCAGATTATGCTGAAATAAAATTATACAACACAAAATTGAGCTTTACACTTCTGTGGCTAACAAAAGCTTAAGTGCTTTAATCTTAATTTACAGCATTAAATGGCTTAGAAAGCCCTGCGATACAGGTTAAATACAGAAGTATATTTCAATGAGTCAAGTGTACGAATAACCAAATCAAATTCAAGGAACCTAGTTAATCCCAAAAGCAACTTTTGATTGTACTAGGAGCTGGTCTTCTGTTCCAGTGTGCTCTGATTACAAATGAATGCCAAATGAATGCGCTTGGTTCCCCTTTTCAGCCCCTTGTAAGCTCCAGGCCATGTTCTCTGCCATCTTTCATTCACTGGCAAGATACTTTGCTCCTGGCTTTGTGCAGCCCATCCACTGCCCTCCTCCACCTTCCTTCTGGGGAATATTCAGAAAACAAAACCATGCACTCCCCTGCTGCTTTGTGCTGACCACAAGCAACTGAAAACCCATTTCTCTTCCTTCAACGTTTTTCTCAAGGCTGTCTTGTTGCAGAGGCAGTAAAAGAAGAACTTGGTAACTGACAGGCTATGGATTTGATGAAGCAATTGCCGGTATGCTGTTTGGGGGTTATCTCACTTGGGCCTTGTGTTCCATCTCCATGTGTCTTGTCTGAAAGCAGATTATCAGGCACTGGAGGCAGAAACTGTGAGCAGAGTTGCCAGGCTCCGTGGTAATGCAAATAAATAACCAAAACAAGATAGCTGCAGGCAGGCGAGCCCCAGGGACTGAGCAGCAGCTACAAAAAGGCAGGGATATAGGCAGTTAAGCTTATGCTTCTATCAAAGAAGCAAAGAGATGTTGAGAGACCTGACCAGGCTCTGCCCCATGGACACTGGTATGAGAAATGAACACCGAGAATTTAATGTGTTTTTTCCCCTTGTACATTGTTTTTGCTCAACTGCAGCTGCTTGCACGTGTGTTAGATGTAGCTCAAGGCTACACCGATAGCTGTAGAAACAAACCTCTGGTATATTTTACCTTGTTCTTTCCACATGGGCATATTTCCTTCCCTTTCCTCTGCATCTGTGTTCCCAGGAGCAGAGAGCTGATTCTTTTTCAGGGGTCTCTAAAAGCTGCTGCTCTGGTTACAGGTAGTTGGACAGTTAAGTGCTTTGGATTGCTGGCTTCTGCATTAATCCGTGGTTTGCTCTGCTGGTGGGTGGTAAAGCACCTTCTATTTTAAGCTGCAGTCCTTGAGATGAGCTCTTTAGACTGTGAGGATGAGCTCTGTAGCGTGTGACCATCTCTTCTGTAGTTACTGGGAAGCCAGAGGCAAAGCGTGTCTTTGTCTTTTTATTTGAGCACCCTTTTTTGGGCAGGCCGGGAGCGTCAGGAAGGGATCTCAGCACCCTGTGCCACTCAGCCATTGCTGACTGGATGTTTGAGCTGAATATGTGATGAGACTGTGCCTCCCTACTTGCTGTTAGCATGAAATCCAAGGGGTGCCATTTCTGTTGAGGACATGTTGAATTGGCTTAATTGAATCATCTTCATTCACTTTTCCTATCAAGTAGGAACCAGGTATTAATGAAATGAGAAATGATGATAAATATTAGTGATAGTAAGATGTGCATGTCTTGAGAAGCTGTCTGTCTACACTGAAATGGAGTAGTAGAAGGTAGGCTTGGTAGTGAAACCAGTACTTTTTTGTTTGTTTTCATTATGCTAGGCCAGTGTAGGCTTCACAAAGTTAGCCATCTGAAGGGAAAATCAGGTAAGACTCTTGACCACATGCAAGTCCGTAGTTAAAACTTTTCTCTAAATCTTGTTTTCATCTGTGAGAAAACAGCTGTAGTTTATCAGTTACAGGCTGTAGTCAATATGTCTCCAGGCATTTTCTGTACTCTTAAAAAAAGTTTTAATTCAGTAAAGTCCTGATGACTACACTTGTCAGCAGTGCTTCAGCCTTCTAGGGGCTGAGTTTTGGGTAACGACTTTTCAGCTTGAGGCACACATACCATGAACCAGTAGCTTTCAGGAGTTGTTCAGTGCTTTATTTCTGGTAAATAGAGATGGATGTAGCTTCTTCACAAGTCTCCTGCTTGTGACTCAGCCATAAGCATAGATTTGCTGTTAACACAGGCTCTCTAGGTTTGTGAGCAATGGAGTGGTAACCTTTAAAAACTTCTTTGCTGGCAGCAGCAACATTGGCATTCCAGATCTAGCTTCTTAATTTGGCAATGGTAATTTTTAACTATCAAAGGAATTGTGATCGTTAAGAGAAAATGGCAACTGGCCCATACCAGTGTACAGTCAGAAAAATACATAGTATGGTCATGTTGGTTATGCAGAACAGGAAACTAGTGATGAATAGAGGTGAAGGAACTGCTGGTGTTTAGTCTGAAAGAGCTGCAGGGCTCAGCAGGATGGAAGCACAGCTTATCCAGGTCTGTCCAAGATAAAGCAATACTTAACGTAGTTTGGCCAGTCAGCCAGGAAACACTGCATAAAATTTGTCACTGGCTCTTAAATGTAAGCAGTGATGAAATCCCTTCACAGAGAATGGATATCACTCACTAATGGATTTTGCCGCCCCAAAGAATAATGACATTTAGTTCATTCATGCCATGGTGTTGTGTCATTGTTAGAAAAACGCTGGAGGAAGGGCTTTCTTTTGTGAAATGTCTGGCATTCACAGACATTAATTTTAGACAGTTGGATGATGTTTTTTTGCATTTTGTGTGTATTAACTGCTTACTAACTAGGACCCAGTTTTTCTTTCACAGTACGGAAGTTTTCTTGCATCAGGCTGAATTTCTTTAAACAAACAATTAAGGAAACCTAACATACTGCCGAATAGGCCAGGCCAGCTGAATTGAAGAATATGTGAACAAGACTTTACAGCTGTTCTTGGTAATCTCTTAGTATAGGGAAGTGGACTGTTTTCTATTTTATTACTTTGTAGAAATTTTGGGATTAGATGAAATCTAATGGGTGAACCAGCACCAGACGTAAAAAGTACAACTTTCAGCCCACTTCTAGAAAGTGACAGCACCTTTACCAGCTATTTTTGTCAAGGTGCCAGGTTGAATAAAGGGCTTTACAGGGCATGACAATTAAATAGGTAATGTTTATGGGATCTGTAGGGCTGTGTTCATTTTCTGGATAAACTGGTTATGTTTAAGCAAGAACTATTTTTCATAATTCTTCCTGTTGTTTTGAGTAAAATTTTAAACAAAACAGAAAGAAAAGTTTGATACCTATGAGCTGTCCTGATGTTTAGCTCCTTCCTACATATCTTGTATGAGGGAGATCTGCTTTTAAGTCCTTGTGATTCTTTTTTTTTTTTAGCAGGGCCCATACGAGACCACTGTAGCCACTAGCATATTGGGCATTTTGATTAAATCTCTCATCTTTGTGCAAAGACACATCATGTGTGCATTGGACTTTAATGTGACTTTTAATTTCTTTTAATGAAGCCCTCACTGCTTAGATAAAGACTGTTTCTCATAGGAGAGAAAACTATGAATAGGAGACAGGCAAAACACCTAGTCTGAGCTTTTTACTTCCAGCATGAGGCACAGCAGTGTGTTCAAGCAGTTTAACAAGATGATGAGTTTAGGCTTTTGCTCCTGCATGTGCTTGCCTTCTGCAGCAGTCACAGTATCACAGAATCATCTAGGTTGGAAAAGACCTTTAAGATCATCCAGTCATTGCCTCTTTAAAGGATCCCAGTGTTACCTGTGCACTGGCTGTTGTTACTTAGATCTTTTGACTTCTGACTTCTGACTCCAGAAATCCCTGTATTACAAAAGCATCTTACTGAACTGGCAATATTAGTTTTCTACTATGTCATAATGTGGCCAAATAAGCAGATGAAGTGTGAGATATTTTCATAATTTTTTTCTATGCAAGAAAATCAATGTAGGAAAACTGCAGAGGAAAAATGTTTATGATGAATGACTAAAGCTGAATGAGGCCTAGCAAAATACAAATTCAGAAGTGGATGGAAACATTCCTAAGTATTTGAAAAGTGCAAGTACAAGTATAAATGGTTGGCAGAAATGCCCGAATGTTCTGCAAGCTCTGTATACCTAGCAATAAGGTGTGAAAACAAAGGATGTAGAAGGAATATAGAGATTAAGAATTTGGCCATTATCATATAAGCCTTTCACAAGTAAATATCACAGGATAGTTCCAAGTTTACATAAAACACTGCAATAATATATACTAGGGAATCAGTAAAGGAAGACTGGATGGATGAGGAAGAATCTTATAAATCCTGGTGCTTGGGAGTAAGTAGTGACCATGGTAACCATTACTACATGTCTTGTGTTTAACAGGTGTTAAACTGATCATTTGTTAAACTTCTGTCTTTCTGTTTTTATTTCTAGGCCTCTTCCTTATCTTAGGCTTGATACTTTACCCTGCAGGTTGGGGATGCCAGAAAGCAATAAGCTATTGTGGACCTTATGCTTCCGCTTACAAACTAGGAGACTGCTCCTTGGGCTGGGCTTTCTACACAGCTATTGGTGGCACTATTCTGACGTTCGTCTGTGCAGTCTTCTCGGCGCAAGCTGAAATAGCCACATCCAGTGACAAAGTGCAAGAAGAAATTGAAGAAGGAAAAAACCTTATCTGCCTCCTTTAAGTCCAGTGGGGAAAAATACCAGTGCCTGGATGTTAATCTGCTTTCCATTGACTGGGCAAGCAGATTCACTTACCCGTTTCTACCATCTGTGTGATTGAGCCCCATGCATTCCAGGCCGGAACTACTGAAATGGTCTTTCTTCCTTGCTGGGCAATGAGGATCAGAGAAAGGATCCCAAAAGCAGAATGTAAATACTTGGGGATTTTTTTAGTTTCATTCTATATTCAGGAGACAGTGGTATATATTAATCTGACTGGGGAGATGTGGAATCATGTGTATTTAGCAGGAATGTTTTTGTTATAACTGACAAATTCTGATTGATCAGATTGCCTTACCCACCTTGGTCACTTTGAAGAATTTGGATTTAAAATAATAAAAGCCAGCACATTTTCCTTTTTTTATATACAGAAGCCTATTTTAATTAGGCTTTCTTTCCAAGGGCCCCCCCCTTGCCTGTGAATATTTCACCACCACCTGATTTGGTACCATACTTTTCATTGAGGTGCTTTTTGATACTGAACTTCCTTAAAGTACAGTGCCTTCTCAGATAGTAGGTATATGTTGGAGAGAGCAAAGCTGACGTGGTGCAGTTTACACCAATCTTTAAACATTAAAAAAATTTAGTCCCTGCCAGGTTTCCTTGTCTTAAGCTTATAGTGCAAGGTGTGTGCCAGTTGTTACTTAGAAGGTAAATGGTTTTGCTTCCACTGACTAGACTGTGGCTTTCACCTGACAACATTGTTTGAAATAACTGTTGTTAAGAAATATTTCTACAGCCTTTATTAAAATGCTTGAAATCCCAAGCAGATAACAAGTCTACACTGCACAGCTGGGCATTATCTTGAAAATGGCAACAGCCTGGCCTGGGCTGTAGCCTCTCCTGCAACTGCAGATCACATGTTGGACTCCAACAGTATTATTCTTTCTTTTGCCAGTGAAACCTCATTCCTAGTCTACAGATGGGTCTGTCTCATGACCCAGAGCCACATGAGTCCATAAGAAATTTACATTTTTTAGGAAGTCTTGCCAAATTCTACATGGCTGGGAAGACAGTTTTACTTTTTTTAAAAAACCGCATGTAGTACGGACCCCTTTCCAACTAAATCAGCAGAAATTAAAGAGGGCTTGCCACAAATGACATTCCTTTCTGAAAGGCAGTTGGTTGTATTACTTGTAGTGTTGCATCACTTACTAGAACTACTCCTGAAAACAAATTTTAAAGGTATTTTGAAAAACAAAGGAGGGATGCAACAGTGCCATAGGAGCATGGGGGATAATTCATCTGAAAAGTAGTTCTAATGAAATACTAAGTGAATTTTAGACTCTTCTTACTTCTTGGTAGTTTAGCATCATCCAGTGACAGTGTTGCTCTGTCACTTCACTGTGTAATATGGAGCAGAAGTTCTTGTTTATGCCTGGCCCGTTCCTTGAAGTGTGCCACTAGTTATCTATAGGCATTCAAAAACGGTTGTCACCGTGCAGGTAGATGGCCGGTTTCGGCACGCTGCTCACGGCGCTCGCAGTCCGAGAGCGGGTCGCGCACCCCTCCGGCGGCCGCTGTGCAGCGCCTGGTTTCTTTTTTTTTTTTTTTTCCTTCTCCCATTACTTTTTGCTTTTAAACAAGATATTTGAAAAGGGACTTCCCCAGGAAGGAGTGGCTGGAGTTTCAGTGGTGTGGACAAAAACTAAGGCATAGAGTAATGCAACAGAATCACTGATTTTGAAGACTAGTACACCACTATTAACTGCAGCTTAAAAATTTAACAAAAATCCCTTATATGTTGATTTGAAATACTCAGATCTATGTAATACAGGCAATTCAAATGTGAAGCTATATCCATCTCTGGCAATATATAATCTAAAAACTGAAAAGGCTCAGCAAGTTTCTTAATGTGCTTTATTTATAAAATGTGGCACTACAAAACCACTGCTACTGAGCTGTTTCTGGGTTGTCTATATCACCTTTGTATCTATTTTACTCAATAAAGTTCTCTGGCTTCTAAGGGATTTTTTTTCAGCCAAATCATTTCCATTTTGCATTGTTACCCCACATCAGAGTATCTCACCTCCTAGTGGTAAACAGAGAGGACAAGTTTTCCTTGGAAGCAGTGGGTGCTGGTGCCTACCTCAAGGAAAGGACAGAGCCCAACAAAAGCAGAGCAAGGCAGTAATGTATACAACACAGCCGCTTTGTATAGGAACAGCTAGAGTAGATTTTGAGCCATGGTTTATTTGTGGTACTGTTTTTCTGTTCTTGAGGCACCACTATGTACGTTTGTTAGCATGAGTGATGTGATGTTATTTTCAATCTAAATTTAAATTAAAATGTGAGTTTTCAAACTTTAACAGGAGTCTGACTACCTTAATTCAAACATACTGGACAAGTTGAGCCACAGCAGGATAGCTGTAATATTAGCATTAATAGCATTTAAGATCCCAGCCCACACATGTTGTCAGTATTTCATATTTCCGTCCAATGTAACAATTATTGCCACTTATGGATCAAGAAGTATGTGATCTGAATTTGTAGCGATGTGTTATATAGTTGCATTAAAGAGACTTTATGATTGCATGTGTCTGACAAATGTTTTTCATTTGCAAATAAAGAACTGAAGTTCCTTGCTTATGGAAGGGGGTAGCCAAGGTTGTAAAACAAATACTGCTTAATCACACAGAGTTTTAAAATGGTGTTTGCCACAATGTGTCTCACTTTTCAGCTGTGACCTGACAAACACTAGAGAGAGGTTACATACTGTTCTCTAAGCGAATGTATGGCAGAACTAGGAGTAAGGCTTTCAGTAGCTGTCGTTTGTCTCATAGTTGCTGTGGTCCATTTCTATTAAATTTACATATAATTAATTGTGTTCAGTTTAATTACACTTCTAAACTACCAAGAAGTAGTACTTGGCTAAAACTTGGAACATTTAGAAACCTACGGTCCAGAAGTTAGAGGATAGGCATCACTCAGTGCACCACCATGTAGTGATTTGTATAGTTAAAAATACTACCTCCCTTTTTCAGTAAGGTTAATGGAGCTGGAATAGGGAATGCAAAGTTCAATTCTTTTAATTGTGTGAACTACTGCAGATTTCTGTGTTCTAGTAACTTCTTCCCCAAGCTCCAACTAGGTTTAAAATGGTGATGCATTGAGAAGGTGAATGTATATTAGTAATATCTGGGAGACATGAATATAAATGTCATACAAAGTCTTGATCCTGTGATTCACCAAAAGCTTGTCTTCAGATAGATTCTTTTTCTGATTTCGTATCTTCGCATGAGTGAAATTCTGAAAGCATAGGAATCCATGTCCCTAACCAGCTTTAGGTATCACTCAGATGCAGTGGGAACAGTAGTTTGGTCTAGCTGAGAAAGGTACAGAAAAAATAATTCCAAATTTAATCACATTATTCTGACCACTTCCAATTCCTCTCTTACCTTTGACTGCCCAATCCAGCTTATCCACTTTTTCCTCTAAAACATCAAAAATATATCCATAGCAAAGACAACAGCCCTGCACTGCAAAATGGCAACATATGCTTTGGCATGCACGCAGTGACTACAGCTCAGATGATCTATGATTGTTTAATTAGGCAATAAACATTGTAAAATCTACTCGCAGCACTGTCAGCTGAAACAGTGGCAGAGCAGCTGATGCTGCAGAGGCATCAGCGGTCAGAGGCAGCTGTTTTTTCATCAAAAGGCCTGGGCTCCAGCCAGTGAATCCCACACCCAGATCTAGCTGTACACATTTGAAAAGCAGAAAAGCCGAGAATAGTCACAGGTAACTGGACTCCAAAACAGGCTGCATCTTCCAGGCCTACAATGGCCCTCTTCCAGGCATGCTGCCAACTAATACAACCTCCACCTTTATTACCAAAAATCGGTCTCTGACATTTCCCATCTCACCAGTTTAAAGTTTTCCTTCCTGAATCATGGGTACAAAGAAGTAAAACCTGGTCTTCTCAACATTTTGCACAGCAGCTCCTCTGTGTTAGTGTTCTTCTTCTTCGCCTCTGAGTGACATTAACAAGGTGCAGGAACACTTCCCAAAGCGGGACAGTACGTTTTATATATACACACATTACTTAGTCACATCGTGGCACCAAGTTATTGAGAGACAGTAAAACAGTGAAACGAATTAAAAGCACTGTTGTTTGCTGTAATCACTATCCATTCATCCAACAAAAAGCACATTTCAGATGAGCTGTATATGCTTCCACTGAACAGCTGGACAGCTTTTTTTCCCAGACTAAAATGTACAGCAGTATGATCCACAAGTCATTAACTTCCCATCAAGGCTTTTTTTTTCCCCCCTCAGTAGTGTGTAACATGCTACCTAGTTTAATCCTAGCATAAAGTTAAACTAGTATTCTGCTGCCAAGACAAGAAACCTACACCACTTCTTTTCCAAGTCTTAATTTTATCAGTGGAAAAATCAGGAAAAGCTACTTGCAAACACAAAATTAATTTGCAGAAAAAAAAAAAGTACAGACTAATTCTTGCACATTTTAATGAAACTGACTGAAACTTAACACATTTGTTTTGCTTATCTGATCCACTGTGCCTTATTAGCAATTCATAACCAGAATGCTCGAGGTGCCTGCCTTTTCCTTGACAGAAATATCTTTCCAGAAATATTAATGAGTATTTTTAATCACAGTGTCTTCCCTGTGCTGTTTTCTCTGTGTGTGCATGCCTTCCCAACTTTGTGTGTACAACTTCTTGAGGAAAACTAGCCTCTGCAAACGAGAGGAATTACCTCCCTACACCAGCACTTAAACTGTGTAGTAATTCTAACCATAAAACGCAACTGGATCATGCTGCACAACTGCACTTACCATCTGTAAAAAAACCTGTCCCTTTAGTCCGCTGCCACTGCCATCCTAGATCTGTACATTACAAACACACACATCAAGTTGATGAAGAGTTTCATCACTACTAAATGATGCATGCATGCACAGGTGCCTTCAAAAACTCACATCTGCTGTCTCCCAAAATAATTTTGGCTGCACCTCAGAGCACTGTTCTCTGTATTGTGCATTTGCAAACATAACTACATCACAGTGGTCTAGATGAAATCATTCTGCCTTTCAAAGAAAACCCAGTAATAAATTCAGTACTAGAAAGCATTTGATATTATTTGGAAAAAATCAGACTGAGATAGTGCCTAAAAAACCAGAAAAAGCAAGACACAGCAGCGATAACAGAAAAAGTCAATTCATAGGCAGAAATTAGGAAGATAAACACTATCAAAGCAATGCTGTTTTTTCAGCGACTTAATTTTAGTTTCAATGCCATTTTAGGATTCACTTAATACCTGTAGAATTTCATTCAGTAATGACAGAGCACCTTTAAGATTTTAACTCGTGAGTTTACATACAAGGAAGTGGGCTGCAAATGTTCAAGAATTTTCTTCGTAACAGTTGAGTAGACCAGCTCTCACTATAATGTATCAATTTGACAGTTGACATTTTGCTTCCTCATTTCAGCAGAATTACATCCTTTATATACAGAGTTATTAAAAAAAAAAAAAAAAAGTGAGACTTTTACACAGATCATCCACTCTGCACATTATACTGACTGTTAGAAGAAAAATCACTATATTGGTCAAAATTATACAGAGCAAACACCCAGGAAAAAAGTCTTTTTTTATTCTATGACACTTGTGTTAATACAATAAATATACAAAACTTCTGAACTACTCAGACATGCAACAGAGGGACAGAAGTGCATTTGTACAGAACCATGACATTCACCAAGACGGCGGAGCATTGTTAGTAATTTACAAAATATACAAACATCCCTCAGATAAATAAAACCAACTCTAAATTACAGATCAATGACTACTGACATTCCAGTGTTTAAACTTCGTACTTTGTACTCAATTTGCCACAATACTACAAAATGACACTTAAGTGGGCGCCATACTCTGATTAATAATGGACTGTGATATCTGGTTTATGTGATATCTGGCTTACGTTAGGTACAAAATATTCTAACAAATACCAGCCTTCTGTTGTCAAAGCTAAACTCAAACTTCTCCCTGCCTTTTGGGCTGCAGAGATTTCTGATTTAAACAACTCATGTGTAACTGAATCTTGAATTTCACTTCAGTTTAAATCCACACATTCAATCCATCACATTATAAATCAACGCTCCCTATACACAGAACATTAAATGTGTTTTCTCAAAGAGCCTTTAAACATTTAGGGAAAAAAATCTACCTGCCAAATTCAGATTTTATTCCTAATGGGTTTATTCCATAATATATTCTGGTATATTATTATGCAATCTTCAACTTAAATTAAATTACAAGGATGATGTCCCTGTGATTCCTATCCAAAAAGTACCAAGAGAATTGCTTGAATTTAGATTTAAAAGTAATCCATAGTAGACTTTCTAGATACAACCCCCAAGTTAAGTCTAAAATATTATCAAAAGAATATATATATCTGATATACAGCTGCTAGAAGGATGATGCCTGATCTCAACAGCACATGGTGGCTTTTATCTGGAAAGCTTTTAATAATATTCCACACAAATTTAAGTTCAATGCTAGCATGTCCACTAGTATGAAAATTTAGAGTCCCTATTACAGAGAATATTTAAATTGCTTTTAACTTCATGATGCAGAGAACATTTATAAGCAAGTATATTCATTAATAAGAACTTCAGCATAGGTGAAACTATGACATTTACCCAAATTCAAGCTGGATTTAAAGAAATTAGTAGAAGAAAGGAGACTAATAGGGACTTCATGCTAACAGTACAATACTGATCCAGGGATTAAGCTAGAGCATTTATTTTTTGTAATGCTCTTCTGTTATTAATGAATACAGTGTAGTGAAAAAGAATCTGTGAAAGTCAGTCAACGTTCAGAACATGGAGGGGCCTCAGAATTTTATGCTGTCTCACTAAAGGTGATTCACCTTAACAGCTGAATTTATTTCAGCCACAGTGTGTACTTATACAGGTTGTGGGGATGTGGTCCTTCCTGTTTTCATTTTTGAAAACAGAGTTTGAAAAAACAGTCCAAGTGTAGTGTGTAAGACTCATGAGGCAATCCAAGAATATAATCTTCAAAGGAGAAAAACAAGATGTTATACTAAATTCTGATTATATTCTATTACATTATGATGGTACATACCATTAAGGATTGTTCAGTTCCACAGCACCAATTTAACCTCTTAGGCCTCCAGATAAATGAGTTAAAAGTTAATATTGTTAAAGATGAGTATTTCTCATGTTTCCAATTCAAAATAGTTTAAAAGCTTTTTTGCTCCACCTTAATTCACAATACAGAGATGGCTGAGTTAAAGTGAATTCAAGTATCTATTAAATGCCATTGCTTAAGAAGCTTGGGTTTAGACAGTATTTCTGGTAGAAGATTAAATACTGTATAGTTAGGTTTCTGGACAAGCAGTAAACAGAGTGACTGACTAGGCTAGAGGTTTAGTACCACTATTAAACACAAATCTAAACAAAAAAAAAACCTCAGACCCCAACAACAAAAAAAAAAACACCAACAAAAAATCCCAAATACAACAAAAATACCACTGCATGTAGAAGAGGGGAGGAGGGCAAGAAACTAGTGTTCTAAAAGTCAATACTGGTTTCTTTGCCAGCAAAATTATTACCCCAAGACATGAATCTGAAATTTAAAATAGCAAATATATAATCATTTAGCTTTGTGATTGAAACCATCAGTTAACTTCCTTAAACTGTACACTGCATTACACATTCTGTTACAGAGAATGTTTATGCACCATAGTCATTTCTCACAGGTAGAGAATACTCCATGAAAATAGATACAAACAAGTCCTATTATTATAAAGTGGTGCAGGTAAATTCTGGACCAAAACACTATTTAAACAAGATCAGATAACTCAACAGTATTCATGCAAACTTACAGGTTTATATCAAAAGACTTATCCTAAAAAAAAACCCAAGAAAATAATTTATAATATCTACCTTACTTGTATTTGTCCTCCAGCAGCTGCTGAAATTGCAAAAGCAGTAGCTAAACCTAACTTTCTACATCTCCCAGTCTACCCCACTTCATATAGTAGAAACAGGGAAAAAATTCTTACAAAGAAAAATAATTGATCCAAATTGCTTTCCTGAAGTTAAAAAAAATACTGGAGTGAACCACTAAAAAACCCTTCCAAAGTCTTAACACATTTATTTGATCATTATATACCACAATTAATTCTCCGGCCAATTGTTGAAATTATCTATCCTCCATAAAATATGGAAGGCTCTATATTCTAGAATTCATCATCTTAAAGAAGGGCAAAGAATGGTTATAATTTTAAAATAAATACATTTATAATAAAGTAACCAAACATTTCCCATTTCACCCATGCACAGCTGCAGAAGACACAAACATGCTGTGTGAATTTTCATCTAGGCTTATAGGGAATACAGTAAGTGACTGGAAAATAAAGTACAATCAAAGAGAATGGTGATGACTTTCTATGTTCCCCTACATTCGGTTACCCTTGAACGCGTTCTGAGCTGCACTGGTTGCTGCTGTTGATGCGGCATTGGCTGCAGCAGTTTGTACAGTTTTGTTGGACATGACTCCTGTTGCAAATTCCTGCTGTGCCTTCTCAAAACTAGCACCAGTCGTGCGGTAGAGACCATGCACCTAGGGAGGTGGAAAAGCAGTGAAAAGGTGGTGCTGAGCCTTCCATTTCTTGGTAGACTAACAGCAAAGTCTCAAACACAAAGCATTAACTGTGTGGTGGGGAAATCTGTTTTGCTCATGTGTTTGGGACAATCCAGAAATGAGAAAATGGGACTTTTTTCCCTGTGAATACTGTAACCTTTGATTGCCCTGCTGCATGCATAGTTTGACAGTAGGAATACCTGTAACTTTTTGCAAGTTCAGAGGGGCCTCATAAATCTTTACTAAAATGTGCCTCGTATCTCCTGTCTGAAATAGTATATTTAAATTCACAAACAGGCTGCATCCTTAGCAACACAGGACTCATAGATTGCAAAAACGTCTTCTGTCTCAATTTGTATACAATTTGTCCTACTCCTTGAGAGAGTTAATAAGTGTGCATGTTAAAAAACCCAGCAGGAAAACAAAACCAAAAAAGTAGTTTTGAGTTCACTGTGTCAGTAAAATTTTCATGAACTTTCTTCTATGTCAATTTTTAGAAACATTTTACCTGATTGATAGTTACAAGAACAAGCTAAGCTATGACTGAATATTAAGAAGTATAAAATATCATAATAATGCAGGTATGTATCTGCTAAACTAGTATGATGACCAATAGCTCTACAGATTGAGATATTAAACAGTGTCTTACAAACACTAAATAATATGACATGTAATCTCTAGTACAACAAAAACCCAAAGCCTAAGTAACTTCCAATTACCTATTAAAATTCAAATGCTATTTCTGACTCATATTCAGTCAAGACACAATAAAGTTATCAAATATTATTGCAAAGACATTTTCATTCAAGTGTAGCAGGAAAATTAATGTTTTAACTTTTTTCTTTGTTATGTGACTATTTCTCATCCATAAAGATACACCAGGTCACAGCCGAGTATGAAAGTTTTTGAAAAGAATCCAGATGCATACAGTAGGAAGAGTGTAAAAAAATGCTCCACCATACACTATTCTTGCTTATTTCTTTCTTCTATACCTGAGTATTTACGCAGAAGAGAAATATGGAGAGGAGACATCTCCAAGCAAAACGTTAAGACTTCTAGCTACCTGTAAACACGCCAGAAGAGTTCTGGTATGTGAAAATCTTTTAAGTGTAACAGTAACTGAAGTTGAATTATAAGAATTGCCAACACATCATCAGCAAATTTCTCAGTTACATTTTATCTAAACAACATAAAAAACTTACTAATATTAGTATCTAAACTTAGGTCTTCTGGATGGAAATTCACAAAAAGGAACCAAGAGAAAATGGTCTTTCTTTGAACTTTCATGCTACGTAATATTAATTGACAACAAAATGTTAACAGAAACACAGAAATAAAAATCCTTTTATGACATGCCAGGCATCTCCCTCCCTCTTCTACTGATTTTAATGGAAATGATTTTGTTAAAAGCTGACACTGTGCAATCATTTGACTCACATTTCACTCAGGCTGAATCACTACAGATTTGAAAATAACAACCTGGCATCTACAGGTACAATCACAGTGTCCAGTGCATACACCTACCCTTTCATTGTGGGTTTACCTCCCAGTTTCTCTTACTGAGAGCTATCCTTCCCAATTTTAGTTTGCAGAAAGGATGTACCTTCTACAAACTGCATTTCCTAACTCCACAACAGTATTAGCAAAACCGTACAATTGTTAATAGGTAAAGCACACCCTCCAGAATATTATTTAATCCCCTTAATCTTACTTTGTGAGAGAGTACCTCTCTCAAGCAGGAAAGCCAAAGCCAGAACAAATACAAGAAACAGAAGAGGGGAATAGTATGTAACTTACCTTTTTAAACATAACTAAGGAGATAACAGCAGATGCTGTGAAAAGTGCAGCTATGATTATCATCATAATGCCAACAGGAATACTCTTATTAAGACCAGTAAGAGATGAAATCCACCCACTGAAGGAAAAAGAAAGGACAAACTTTACTAGCACAGCACATGAACCATTCAATCACAGGTATCCACATCAAGGTAAGCTTTATAAAACCTCCTGGTTCTGACTTTAGAGTACTTTTGAAGTAATAGGAATTTTATATAAGCATATTTGGGTTTATTAATAAACTTTTAGAGCTTAATTTCCATTTTTACCAATGCATGCAGTGAAACTATATGAAAAATTGTAGTAAAGATTATTATAATTGAGCAGAATTGTGAAGAAACTAGAGTTGCTCATCAACTTCTTGGGGTTTTTAGGTCGTACTTTTATTTCAGATTAATTTAAGACTACATGATTTCGTGGAAGAGAAAATGTGTCCAGAAAGATAGCTTCTAACTTCTTTACCCATAAACCAAAACCATGCCATATACACAGTGCTTCTATGTGGGAAGACTGTGTATCCACACAGTGACGCTTCTCTAATAGGTTAATAAGGTAATTTTTTGAACTTCATAGCATCAGATTAACTAATTGAAAAGCTTGCTGTACCAGTACCTACTTAAAACATTTCCCCATTCCTAAAAATTGAAACACCAACAGAAAAATACAGTATCAAACCACAAAAAGAAGGTTGCCTTTAAGAAAAGTAACACGTTGAAATGGAAAAGATTCTTCCACAGAAAAAAAAGCAAAAAATTTCTGTAAATCCAAACAACCTTAAACTTTCTTCCACTGCTTCAGATTGCTTTGATATCCCCTTAGATATCCAGTCCAACTGGACTATACCACAGAACTCCAAAATCCAAATTGTAATTATCATTTTTTGATGATCTGGCTCTCTTTCATACCCCTTCCCCAAGCATCCTTAAAAGCACACTCCACATACTTGGAGACTGGCCCTCTACAATACTTTTTTATTTTGTTGATCTCAATGTGTCTATGAAAAAATCAAAACAGCAGCAAGACCAAAAATGATGAAACGGGATCTTTTATTACACTACAGTTCTAAAGCAACACTATTTTGCCTGCTTCACATATGTTTGGAGGTTAGCAGCAAAAAGCACTGATACAGAGAGATGTCATTACCCAGCTACAGTATCACCAGTCATAGCTCTCCCTCCTACCAGCTGGCTACTACAACCATGCTTTTAGTTAACTCAAGTTTGTTGGTTTGTTGTTTTGTCGTTTTTATTTTTTCCCTAGGGACAGGAAGGAATCAATTCAGCTCTTCCTTATAAAAGTTAAGTATTAAACCTTGAAGACTCAAATAAATGATAATATATATAAAAGCTTCATGTAAAAGCTTATATACTTACAAGCATCAAAAAGAAAAATCAACTACTACAGAATAAGGAGCTGACTTGGACAAATGAGCTTTTCAAATAATATCAGATATACCACTATATTAAATTCAATACATTATTGTCTTATTCTTCAGATTTTAGCCATTAATAAGTAGTAACTATATTTATATAATCAGAAATAACTAATGATACAAAATAATATGCAAACTATATTATTACTGTCTCAATTATTTTTATCTTCTCTTTTTGCTTATGACTTTATCTTAAATATAGAGAAAGCAGTATCTCCACACACAACCAAAATAGAGAAGGTCATGTATAACAATTCAAACCGGTTTAACATTCCAAGATGAAATTTTAACCAGCCTAATAACAGAAGTACCTCACACTCTTGGGTTAAGTTTCACTCACTTTTCCTAAAAAAGCAAAAATGTTTTTTTTGAGTGCTAAATATAGCAATTCCAGTGAACCTGAGATTTTTCTGGAACACAGAGTGTATTGCAGTTGCTATATCAAATAGGAATGTTTGTCTTACAGACAATGCTACAGCAAACAGAATACTCACCAGTTTCCCCATCTTTGAAATCCTGCAGCTTGAAGTACATGTACAGCAAACTGACAGATATATACAAAGAAGAATACAAAGAACCTGAATGAACTGTCACTCCTGAAAGAGGGGGGGAAAAAGATTAAAGCAACCAGGAAAATAATGACTTTTTGCAAACACTGTAGAACCAGTCTAAAACTTTTTTCTGCATTAACTAGGGGAAAAGTGCTTTCATTTATTAACAGTGACTTGAAGTAGCAATAATTCTGTGAGTCTGTAGAGTGTTTATTTACAAGAGCTGCTCCTTCATCTTTCATGTAGTATTTTTATCATCTGTACCTTTAACAGAGGTGAGAATAGCAGCAAGATACTATTCCTTAGTGTTCTGTTCAGCACACTACGTTTTGCCTGTTCAGCAGGGCCTCTTAGACTAAACATAGAAGTTTTGCTACAAGCATGAAGAACAGAATTCTACTCCACTTTCAGACTGAAGCTCACAGTGCTGGCAGGATGGGAAGAAAATACTTCACTTGTAAAAGAAAATAAAATGTAATATGGAATTACTGAAACATAGTGAACATAGTGCATACCAGAATACTGAAGTGGGTGTTGCTTAAAAGCAAAATATACAAAATCAGTTTGCTGTTAAAATGACTAAAATGCCAGCCTGACGAAAACTGAAAGTAAAAATTTAAAAATAAATAAATACAAGAATGTACAGGCAAAATAAATCTCAGTATAAACCCTCAATTTACTACTATCAAAACTAATGATCGTATAATTTTCTTCTTACCAAAGTTCTCAAAAAAGCAGAAATCAGTTAAGTCACAGAATTAGATTTTGCCCTTAATAACTCTTCCTGCAGAAGGGAGTTTGTCAGTTCTATTTATTTAACCAGTTCAGTTCAATTACTATTTCATATTCATCTGAGCAACTGACCAAAAATTGAATATGGAGGTAGTAATCCTTCTTTTCCAATCAATATTCACCAAGAAAAGCTATGGATTTACTAGAGAGGAAATGCAAATTAAACTACATGATTCCACAAAGATGTGTGGGTACAGAAATACCTCCTTGGTTAGCAAAAAGAAGCAATCTCATTTAGTCTACAGGTTATGCTGAACTGCAGTGTCTGGCCATCAATCTTTCTCTACAAGAATCAGTATATTTTAACTGAGAATATCCTGAATCACTTCAATGTAAAAAAAAAAAAATTAAAATCCCAGGAAATGCTATAAAGGTACCAAATTTAGAATCTCTACATGCTGATTTTCACCAAAAAAAAAAAAAGTTAATTTTTTATGCAAACCAACCATTCTATTCTTAAACACAAAACTACCAAACCTCACACTTGTGAAGTCTGCAAAGATTGATAAAAGCTATGAAAACCACTGGAGTTTGATTATATACCTGCTCTACTCATTCTTAAGAATCTCAGTCTACTTCATTTACAGACACTGTAGGTCACTTGCCAATACAAGATTTTTATGTGTAGAGCTTTATGAAGTTCATTAGGAAGCCAAAACTTTAAGACACTCTTAACTATTAACCTACTGAAATTCTTGGTGTGAAAGTATAGAGATTTAATGAGAATTTTCCTTAAAACTGTTATCAGCCCAACACAAAGTTAAATATTTCCTAGAAATATTCTGTCAGTGGTAGAAGCTATAAATACTTTAATAAATGATATTCCTAACTATTGCCATCTATGTTTTAAATACAACAACTAAATCAATGGCAAACATACTAATTATTTCTAATGAAAGCATATTGAAGGATTATCATAATAATAATAATAATAATCAAGCAAATTCTGGAATGTTAATGCATTTTGATAAGTTTGTAAATATCCTAAGTCAAGCTGAAGTTGTTACCTGAAAGCTCCATAAAGGGGTCTGTACCAGCAGACAAAAGAACAAGGTGTAAAAAGCAAGAACCAGAGAATACTCAATCCAAAATCAACCCCTCGTGTAGCATCAACGTAAAACCAGGCCAAACATCCAAAGATATTAAGAAACAGTGTCACTGTATGGACTGTAGAAGCAAAAGCAAAATAGTCTTTATTAAGTTATGTGTATACAATAGATCATAACTTTTAAAGTAATACCCTAACTGAGCATTTTTAAACAAAATGTCAGCATGCTAACAATAAATCCCTCTCAATACCCTCAGCAATACACTGATTTTCATACAGTTTTCTAACTTTCTGGTAAACCCTGTATTCACAAGTGGAAGTACTGAACATGAAAATTCAAGTGCTATCAGGTATATGGTGAAGGAAAAAATCCTGTCATAAAATTAAGACATCTTCAAACTTAAAATGATTGAAAAAGGTTTCTACAGCTGTAATAATTGATACTTTTTCTACAGTAATAACTGGATACAGATATTTAACAGACTACTGAATATTTCTGGAGAGAAAGTTTATAAACTATATAAAATGCATCATAAATTTAGCACTGTATACATTTTAGTTTGAAAACAAAAATTTCCAAAAAAACTTTCAACTAAAAGCTATTTATCTTCTATGTAATAAAGCAAAAAAACCTCCCACTCAGTAAAAATGTCTCTCAATAAAACAAGATCTGCAAGAAGCTGTTCTAGATGCTTTAACAGATACTGTATATTCAAGTATTTCTTATGACAATGGTCTTACACATTTGCCTTTTTGGTGCTCAGTTCTTAGCTCATCACTAGCATTTTCTCCGTGTTAGACCTTGTTACAGGTTAACTATTGAGTTTCTTCTGAAGCAAATGCATTTGCATTCCAACTTCAAACATATTTAGTTCTCAGAACAAGATAGAGGAGTATTAAGAAACATTACAACTACTACCTTCATGCTATGTGCCACAGTTCTGACAGACTTAAAGAGATCAACATGAATTTCTGTCTTTGTTCAGCAATAACCAATGATTAAGGAGTGACTTTACTATCTTAGAAGACCATTTCTAATCTTCTGGACCAAGATAAAGTAGAGTATTAACAATTGAGAGTGCACAAGCTGCTCCTTGCAGCAATGATTTTTTATTTAAGTTCAGATACACATTTTAGTCATTCTACTGGAAAACAAGGTTAACAGAAGAACTGGAAAAATAATACTGAAAAAAAAATGCCCACATCACTGCATGAAAGGCTGATGAAACTCAACATTTCCCTCAGACAAATCATATTTTCCAGATACACCAGAAAGAGAAAACTTTGCACTTTTAAATAATAAGCATTTAACACACCTACATATCTTAGCAATGTTCAAAGAGGTCAGCAAGGCAACTGATTTCAGAATTTGTGTGTGTGTGCCTCATAAAGCACAACAAAGGCTACAAATGCAAATTCCTGCCTTCCTTTGATAAATATGAGAAAGCTTACCATGGGGTATTCTTTGTTTTTCTACTTAATACCGGAAAACAGGAAGACCCCCTAGATTACTAAAACCATCCAGGCTCTGGTGTAATTTGAACTTTTCAAAATTACTATGTTTTCTGTAACTGCAATTACAATAACAAGACAAGTTTTAAAAGAATACCATCTGTGCAGAAGAAGTTTGAAATGTCACACCCACTACTGATACTCATTAGCACAATAAAACCAGCCACAGAGGGGTCTGCTTCACTACTGTCACAGAAAATCTCAGCTGTAAAAATCAAGTATTAGCAAGCTACAGATGAAGATGAGGGACTGCACTGACAATTCTCCCTTTGCTCCACTCACCCTTCTCTCTGCCTGCTGCAAGGTACAGAAAGGCATTTATTCTTTGAGCCAACATCTTCATTAAGTGACCTAGATAAGCTTTGCTGTTGTATGAACAGAGGTGGTTTTATGTATCTTCTATGTATTTGCCTCTTCAGATTAAACCATTAAAAGAACCTATTCAGATAAAACCATTAAAAGACAATGACCACCTAGGGGCTGAAATGACCTAAGGCTTTGGCAGAAGTCTGCAACATGCAATGTCTGCATGACAATAACTTCACAGCTATACTAATACAGTTCTCAGTATCTAAAAATATGATCTAAGAATACTTGATCTAAGAATATCTTCTCCTAGTTTAGCTGTGGAAGCAGTTAAAAAAAAATAAAAGGGCATTCATGCCAGACTAAGAGTGAACAATGGGAAATTACACCAGTTTAATAAATATTCAGACTCCACTTCATTCTTACTAGTGTAAACTTCCTTGTAAAGAATCCTACTTAGATATACATTTTCTATCTGAATTAACTACACTTTACAATCCATTAATTATAAATGTATTTATAGAAATCCAAGTTTGAAAGTAAACTGTAAATAATGACAAGTTGCACTGGTGCTATTTGGCATCTACCTTATTGAGATGATTGTTTTGCAATCCCATTTGGGACTACGAAAATAGATTTTTGTAATAAGTTTCATTTCAGCAGCGTTTTATTGATGGTATTCTCAGGAAACCAAAGTCCTCACCAGGATACATGACAAAAGAATACGCTCTTCCCAAGAATCAGCTGGACTGTCACCCTCAAGGTGCCTCAAGGGGAATGGGACACATATGAAGCAGAGGTTTGTGAAGCCACAAGGCAACAGACAAGTGGAGGACAAAGCTGCTGAAGCCTGATCATACATAACCTTGGAGCACCGTGTGGCTTCAAATGTAGTTTAGGGTTTTCTTTCTTGACTGTTCTGCTCTTTTTGGACAGGGGGCTAGTAAGACATGTGCAAACATGTCTTACAAATGACAGAATTCTTTTCCATAGGAAAAAATATATTATAAACCAAGCTTAGATCAGTACACAACATAATGTGTTGGGTTTGTGTGTGTGGTTTTGGTAGCAGGAGGGTGCTACATAGATGGCCCCTGTGAAAAGCTTCTTGAAGCTCCCCCAGCTCCAAGATTCTGGCCAAGGCTGAGCCAATTAGCAAAGGCGGCTGTGCCTCTGCGATTACATATTTAAGAAAGGGAACCTGAGAGGAGGAGAGTTGTAAGGAAAATACCTATGCAAACAGTGAGATCAGCTGAAGAAAGGAAGCGGGGGTGGGGGAGGTGTGCCAGAGCAGAGACCCCCCTGCAGCCCGTGGCGAGAGGGCAGGCTGTGCCCTGCAGCCCATGGAGGTCACTGGTGGAGCAGATGCCGACCTGCAGCCCGGGAAGGACCCCACGCCAGAGCAGGTGGCTGCACCCAAAGAGGGCTGGGACTCGGAGGGAAGCCCAGGCTGCAGCAGGACTGCAACACACAGGAGGGACCCACACTGGGGCAGGTCAGGAAGAGCTCCATCCCATGGGACGGTCTCATGTTGGAGAAAGTTCAACAACCACACTGGAGCAGGGGAAGGAGTCCTCCCCCTGAGGATGAAAAAGCAGCAGATGATGAACTAACTGTAATCCCAATCCCTTGTCCCCATGCACTGTCGCAGGGGAAGAAGTAGAGAAACTGGGAGCAAAGCTGAGCTTGGGAAGAAGGGAGGGGTGGGGGGAGGTGTTTTTAAGATGTGGTTATACTTCTCACTGTCCTACTGTTTAATTGTTAAACTAAATAGAGGTGGCTGTGTTTAAATTAAATTTATGTTTTATTTCTTCTTCTAAGGAGTCAGTCATTTGCCTGTGACCATAACGGGTGAGTCATCTCTCCTTGTCCTTACCTTGATTCCAGAGCCTTTTGTTCTATTTCCTCCTCCCCATCGCTGAGGGGGAAGGAGTGAGCGAGCAGCTGTGTGGTGCTCAGTTGCCCTTTGACACATAAGCACATGCTATCAAAAATGTGAAGGTGTTTTTTTTTTCTCTACACAGTACATTAGGACTTCAGGTAAAATACTGGACACGGTCCACACTGTAAAATTCTTGATGCTACACACCGAAATATACATAATAATATGGAGTAAGCCAAGCAGCAACCAAACATTCAGACCTCTAGAAAACATAAACTACAAAGAAAGACTGAGTAAACTATGCTAATTTAGCCAAAAGGAGATAACTAATGGGGATAAACGTGTTCAACATAACAATGTTGGACAGAAAATGGAAGATAAAACACAGGAAGGGAGGATTAAATTATATACTGGGAAACATCTTCTAATGATTAAAAACAGCAACATACTAGAACAGGCTTGGAGGGAGTTTATGAAGTGTCCATCCTTGGAGGTTCTCAGGAACAGGCAGAACAAGCATCAATACAAACTGATATGTTACTACTGATCGTACCCTCAAACAGAAGGATGGGTAAGATTAAACTCTCCTAAACAGAAAAAATACCATAGTTGACACTTCAGGGTATTATTTTTCTACCAGAATCTACAGTCACTGGCCTTTGAAAACTTTTAAGTCTTGTTCATACAAAATGGAAACATTCACAATCTATATCAAGTAACAGTCACAATCTATATAAAGTAACAAACCCAAACCACAAAACCTTTCCATGACATTAAGCAGCTCTTTGGTCTGTAACTTCCAAGTAAGAAATAGTCTTTGAAAATCATTTTGTACGTTATCAGCCTGTGGGGAAAAAAGTTGAAAAACACAGGCTTTTGAGCCAAAAAAGTTCTAGTGTTAGATACAGGTTAAGAGATGTGACATTTCACTGTTAACAACATAGAAACATCTAAAAAGTAGGGCTCAGTGCTGAAGAGCCAGGAAAACTGTCATTCTATCTGCAAGCTACTAGAACAGCAATGGTCACAAAACCAAGACAGAATAGAAAAGCTCCACTGGCAGCTAATAGAAACCATTTCTAATTGATTGCCATTGCTCACAAAAACATGGGAGTAGGCAGTGAAAAGAAAAAAAGGCTCTCCCTAGGGAAGAAAAAAAATTTTATAATGTGCAAAGATAAAACCACATCAAGGAGTAAGAAAACTGACTTCTGACACAAACAGAGAAAAGACTGATGAATTTATGGAATAGGGATACAAACAAGACTTGTTTTCTCATGAAATAAAGAGAATATAGATCTGAAACAAGTAAAAAAAATTCCTCAGATACATAAAGACCAAGAATAAGGATACAAAAAATTGCTACTAACAACAGAAACACACAGAAAACTGAATCTGAAAGGTTTGTTTCTTTTGGCTGCTAAAAAGGAAGAGGAAAACTAATCTACTTTACAAAGTGCTGAGCATGCAGTACTAGATTTATCCAAATGTGACTATGTTCACAGAACCCCTAGGCCTTACAAGACCGAGGAAGTTCTGCAAGAGGAAATAAAACGTATGGTAGCGCAGCATGCAGAAACACATTGGTTTGCTATGGTAATAAGTGCTTCCACTGAGGAAGCATAGCTGCTCTAATAAAAAGTGAGCCAAACCATGTAAGTATGATCCTGGGAAAGAAGAGTCACAAGCACTGATTTAACAGCCAGCCTTAAGGCCCAGAGTTCAGTATTCAATTATTATTTTTTTTAGCCTGAAATAGATTTTGTCTTTCTTTTCCTCTATCGTGCCCTTTTCCTTTCTTCCTGAGTAATCCCTAAATCAGAGAGTACTAAAGAAGGGAAAGAGCAAGAGGGCTCAATTAAAATCTCAGTCTACCTAGAAGAAAATCTGTCATGTTAGTATAGAAGCACAACTCCTACATATTTTGAAATACTGTAACACTGATGCTTCCTTTATTTATTGCTATAAGAGAGAAAAAGTAAAACCAGTATTAATACTGAATTCTCACTGACCAACTTTACCTTGTGTTTGAAGCATAGAGCATTTTCAGAACTCAGTCCTGCAAATGGTCAGAATTAGTAAGTACCCTAAAATTTTGGAGTACTTGATCTTAGATTGCATATAAATCCTAAATGTCTGTCAGGTTTATGAGAGGGACTGGTCACACATTCTACAGTGGATTTACTTTTTATTTGAAGATTAATGAGCCAGCAATGAATACAGAAAGCTGTGGATTACGACGAAGTGGAATTCTCTTGATTCAATGCTGACTGCTTATTTTGTGTTTCAATTATATGGTTCAATCACAGTAATAAGATTTCCTGATTAACAGGTAAAACTATGGAGATTTGCTAACTAAATCTGAAGCCCTGAAAAAAAACACAGAAAAGTTCTGAAATTCATATTCCCTTAGTACGCTAAAAATATGTTAAAGGCATCAAAGCACCTACATCTTTGGAATTTTCTCAGTCTCAAGAGTAATTATTAGGCTCCCTTCAGAATGGACAAGGCAGAAGAAACAAACATTGTAGCAACTGTACATTTGGTCCCATATTTCTCCAGTCAAAACACAGCACATGAATGAGGGCAAAATTAACTCCACAAAGATGGTATAGAGCATTCCTTGAGTACAAAGTATAGTTTTAATGTGGACTGATTCTTCAGCTGGTTGACTTTACACTATTTTTTTAGAGTAAAATGATAGCAAGACTTCACTACAGACAAAAACCTATATAAAACTATGTATATATTAAAGCAAATGGATATTCTACTTCTTAAACTCGCAAGTCTAAATACTGATTGTGTATTATATTTTTTAATATATAAGCTGATTTTAAAAACAGTGAAATTATTTCTAAGTTAATGAATGGCCAAAGCTCATTTTACAACAACAGAGATACTTAAACCATAACAATAAAATATACTAGAAACAAACTGCCTAAGGTTAATCCTCCTCCTTTTTTTCTGTAGAAGTTTCTGTTGCATAATTTAATACTTTTAAAATTGAAGCTAACAAAAAGATTTCACTGCTATGTTTGACTTCTGGATTTAAAACAATTTCTCATTACAGATGTTGCAAAAGCCAAAGTAGCAGGTATGCATTACCAAACTGAATAGGTGCTTTGTTTTTTCTTTAAAAAAAAATACTTACACATCCACAAATAGTACATAATCTTTACTGTTTTCTGGAACTCTACAGGAATGTCTACAGAAAAATCCTGGTAGAAACAAGGACCTACTGGAAAATTTTCAGGAAGAGGTGGCCAGTTATTTTTTCTACCTGCAAAACAGAAAAAAAAAGAGGATTATAATACAGTTTTAATTTCTGTACACGAGAAAGATATATGCATTTGGACTTGTTCAAGTTGTTTTATCATGAGTTTCACAACCATATGGATAATCTGTGCTACCAAAACCCAAGAGTTTTATTAGCAGTCCTCACACAATACTGAAAATAAACTTCAGAAATAAAACACAATGAAATGCAGCAGATCAAGGACAGTATAGTATTTTATCTGTGTAAAAGACTAAGAAGGCATCTGAGAGTTTCTGTAAAGTAACGAGAAAAGATAATTCTTCACAAAACAAGCAGATATGGGCAGAAAACCAACTTCTCAGTGTTACTTGGCTTTTAAATTTACATTTCCCTAAATTCACACCCTATTCACATACTTTGTTGAACACATAGACTGAGGTCTGAAAAGCATTCTTCATTCTCAGAATTCTGGTATTTTAATGCCAGGCTATCTCTAACACTTTGAACTAGTTCCCAATACAGTTCATAGTCAAAGCTTTACCTCAAAGCCCGTAAGGCTCAAGAAAGGCAGCTACTGAAACGGTCTGAACTACTTTTTTATTACAAGAAGATGCCCTACAGCATCATTGTATTTTGATACAGTTATATGCCAGAGTGAGGACACCACAAAGGACACAGTATCAGACACTTGGATTTCCTGTATGCTGATCTGCTCACAGGCTAGAGTATACGTTCTGCCAAACACAAGTCATACCAAGCACAGACGCAGAGATTCAACCGAGATAACTGCAACAAAACTTTCCCATAACATTTTTAATTCTGGATGCAAGAGATAAATTAATCACCACGTTCCAGAAGTGGAGCTGAACTACAGACTAACCTAAAGGCTCCTTTATTTGAAATTCTGGCAAGGTTTTGCCTGCTATTTCTATCTTCAACCATATCTCTACTAGCAGTACATCTGGTAAGAATAAAAGGCTTGCAAAGCTTACTTGCATAATTTCTTACTTGTTTCTCCACTCACATAAAAGGAAGCTGTCAGTTCTGTCCAAACAGGTCCAAAGCAGTGAACATCTTCTAAGTTTCCTGCCTCTTCTACTGAAATTTTTACCAAGTCCTCCAGAGCAGGGGATTGGCAGAGGGAGTGTACAAAAGGCAATCAAGTAATATTCCCATCCGTATTAAAAACTACTTTGGGATTTCTTATGTGAAAAAATATTTGATAATAAATCAGATCTTCATTCTGCAGTATATGGTTATTTCTCTCAGGACTGATAGTTTCAAGGCAGAGTTATGGAAAAATTCAGTTATCTTATAATAATACAAGCTATTATTTAAGAATCATATTTCACGTGCTTTCCTGCTGCTGTGGTACAGGTTTTAAAATTCTGAACTAACACTAAAGAGTTTGGTGAGATGGTTTGAGATGAAAAACCAAGCTGTTTTTTTCTAAATATACTTTGCATACTCATATTCCAGTACTGCATCCTGATAAGCAAAGAGCTAGCTCACCAAGTTACTTCATTCAACAGAAGTTACCATCTCAAGGCCTATTAACTGCACTTCAGTGGTCTGTCTACACTATGAATGTAGACACCCTCAAACTAGCTTCATGCAAGCACAGAAAGAGATTTTCAGGCATGCCCAAATGAAATAGCTGTAACAGGAAGCAGCATGCTTTAATTAACTCAAATGCTGCACAACACCTGAGCAGAGAAGACTGAAGGCATCAAGCTGAGCTGACCTACCAGCTTGAAGATCTTTGTGCTACAGTCAACTGCATATGACCACAGTGTCCTAGATGTGTTAGCAAGCATCTTAAATTGAAGGCAAATAGATGGAGTATTGCAAAAGACCCTGTCCTCCAATCAAGACAACTCTATAGTGTTTCCAAAAGAGTTCAAATGAGAACCTCATGAAGTTCCACAAGGCCAAGTGCAAGGTTCTGCACATGGGTTGAGATAATCCTAAACACAAATACAGGCTGGGAGATGACTGGATTGAGAGCAGCCCTGCAGAGAACAACTTGGGTGTTGGTTGACAAGAGGCTCAATGTGACATGGTAATGTGCATTTGCAGCCCAGAAAGCCAACTGCATCCTGGGCTGCATCAAAAGAAGCATGACCAGCAGGTCAAGGGAGGTGATTCTCTTGCTCTACTCTGCACTGGTCAGACCCCACCTAGAGTACTGCATCCAGCTCTGGGGACCCTAGCATAAGAAGGACAAGGAGCTGTTGGAGGAGGTCCAGAAGAAAGCAACAACGATGATCAGGGGGCTGGAGCACCTCCCCTATGAGAACACAGGACAAATGGAGGCTCCAAATGAGGCAGGTAATCCCTCATCCTCTTGATACCAGGCAGAAGGAGGGGACCTAAGAGACAGGGGAGGCTGCAAACAGGTCCCTGTTCAGGGAGGCAGGAAAATCCTCTCCCGACCTCCCTCACCCTCCATCGTGCCCCTTGACAATAGATTCACGGCCCTGGAAATTTTGAATGGAGAAGGAGGAAGAAAATGAGACAAACGAGGAAGAGCAAAGCCCACCAAGGCTGGGTCATTCTAGACCAGGTATTAAAAACAGTTCTGAAAAGAACCTCAGAAGAGTCATTGTACTGGGTGACTCCATTTTGAGGAGCGTCGAAGGCCCCATACGCAGACCAGACGCTTCACGGGCAAGTCTGCTGCCTCCCTGGGACCTAGATCAAGGACCTCATGGCAAAACCCTGCTCTAGTGAGACCCAAGGACTACTACCCTCCCTTGGTTTTTCAGGTAGGTAGTGACAACATTACCAGGAGAAGGCCTAAAGTAATGAAGACAGATTTCAGGTCCTTGGGGAAACTGATTAAGGGGTTGGGGGCACAGATTGTGTTTTCCTCCATCCCTTCAGTTGGGGCGGGGGGGTGGATGAAGAATACTGGAGAACTCAACAGATGAACTGGTGGCTCCAAGACTGGTGTTACAGTCAGAGCTTTGGATTTTTCAATCATGGGTTGGTATACAGGGCACTAGAGCTTTTGGCATTAGATGGAATGCACCTGTCCCAGAGGGGGAAGAAGATCATGGGGCAGCAGTTAGCTGGGCACACTGACAGAGCTTTAAACTAGATTTGAAGGGGGAAGGAGGCAAAACATCAGCCCATCTGAAATGCATGTATGCCAATGCACACAGCATGGGTAACAAACAGGAGGATCTTGAAGCCATGATCAAAACAAGAAAATTATGATGTAGTGGCTCTCACAGAGACATGATGGGATGTCTCCCATGACTGGAGTGCGCCAGATGATGGCTACAAGCTCTTTAGGAGGGATAGACAAGGAAGGAGAGGGGGTGGGGTGGTGCTGTATGTTAGGGACTGTTATGATTGCTTTGAGTACAAGTGTAGCGAAGACAGGGCGGAGTGTCTTTGCGATAGAATCAGGGGGAAGGCCAACAGGGCAGATGGTCTAGTAGGAGTCTATTATAGGCCGCCCACCCAGGACAGAGAGGTGGATGAAATATTCTATAGGCATTTAAGTGAAATGTCACGATCACTTGCCCTTGTTCTTGTGGGGGAATTTAAATTCCCAGACATCTGCTGGAAATACAACACAGCAGAGCGGGACCAGTCCTGGAGATTCCTGGAATGTGTGGAAGATAACTTCCTGACACAGCTGGTGAGAGAACCAACCAGAGAAGGTGCCCTGCTGGATCTCCTCTTTGTGAACAGAGAAGGAGTGGTGGATGATGTGGCGGTTGGAGGCCAACTAGGGCACACCAATCACAAAATAATAGTATTCTTTATTCTTAGAGAGGCCAGGAGAGGGCTAAGCAGGACTGACATCCTGGACTTCAGAAGGGTTGACTTTGTCTTGTTTAGGCACCTGCTTGAAAGGATTCCTTGTGAGAAAATCTTGAAGGGTACAGGGGTCTAGGAAGGCTGGGCGCTCTTTAAGGAGGAAGGCTCAGGGGCAGGTGGTCCCCAGATTCTCTAAGAGAAGCTGGCAACAAAGAAGACCTCCCTGGTTGAACAGGGAGCTCTGGCTGCAACGCAGGAAGAAAAGGAGAGTTCACAGCCTTTGGAAGAAGGGGCTAGCTACTCACAATCATTACAGAGATGCTGTGAGGCTATGCAGGGCGGAAATCAGAAGGTCTAAACCCCAGCTATATATTAATCTGGCTAGAAATTAATCAAGGACAAGAAATGTTTCTATAAGTAGGTCAGCAGCAAAAGACCAGGGAGAGTCTCCATCCCCTGCTAGATGCAGGAGGAAACATGACAACAAGTGATGAAGAGAAGGCTGAGGTGCTTAATGCCTTCTTTGCCTCAGTCTTTAATAACAAGGCTTGTACTGAGGGAATCCAGCCTCCTCAGCCAGAAGACAGAGACTGGCAGAATGACCCCTGCAATCAAGGAGACAGTCACTCAGACATACACAAGTCTATGGGACCGGATGGGATACACCCGAGGGTGCTGAAGGAGCTGGCTGGGGTGCTCGCCAAGCCACTTTCTATCATTTACCAGCACTTCTGGCTGACCAGAGGGGAGGTCCCAACAGATTGGAAACTGGTCAATGTGACACCCATCTATAAGAAATGTTGGAAGGATGATTTGGGAAATTACAGGCCTGTCAGCTTGACTTTGGTACCCAGGAAGCTGATGGAGCAGCTCATCCTGAATACCATCATAAAACACATGCAGGACAACCAGATGATCAGGCGAAGTCAGCATGGGTTTATGAAAGGCAGGTCCTGCTTGACAAACCTGATCTCCTTCTATGACAGGGTGACCTGCGAGGGAAAGCCTGTGGGTGTTGTCTACCTTGACTTTAGGAAGGCCTTTGACACCATTTCCCACAGCATTCTCCTGTTGAAACTGGCTGCTCACGCCCTGGATGGGCACGTTTGCTGGGTAAAAAACTGTCTCGATGAGCGGGGCCAAAGAGTTGTGGTGAATGGAGTTAAATCCAGTTGGTGGCCGGTTACGAGTGGTGTCCCTCAGGGCTTGGTTTTGGGGCCACTCCTGTTTAACATCTTTATTGATGATCTAGACGAGGGGATCGAGTGCACCCTCAGTCCGTTTGCAGATGACCCCAGTTGGGTGGAAGTGTTGATCTGCTCGAGGGTGGGGAGGCTCTGCAGAGAGACCTGGACAGGCTGGAGCCATGGGCTGAGGGCAACTGCAGGAGTTTCACTAAGGGCAAATGCCGGGGGCTGCCCTTGGGCCACAACAACCCCCAGCAGCGCTACAGGCTTGGGGAGGAGTGGCTGGAGAGCTGCCAGTCAGAAAGGGACCTGGGGGTGTTGACTGACAGCCGGCTGAACAGGAGCCAGCAGTGTGCCCAGGTGGCCAAGGCCAATGGCATCCTGGCTTGTGTCAGCAATAGCGTGGCCAGCAGGGACAGGGAAAGGATCTGACCCCTGTACTCGGCACTGGGGAGGCCGCACCTCAATTCCTGTGTTCAGTTTTGGGCCCCTCACTACAGAAAGGACATTGAGTGACTCGAGCGTGTCCAGAGAAGGGCAACGAAGCTGGTGCAGGGTCTGGAGCACAGGTCATACGAGGAGTGGCTGAGGGAACTGGGGGTGTTTAGCCTGGAGAAGAGGGGGCTGAGGGAAGACCTCATCACACTCTACAGCTCTCTGAAAGGAGGGTGCAGAGAGCTGGGGATAAGTCTCTTTATACCAAGTAATAAGCAATAGGACAAGAGGGAATGGGCTTAAGTTGCACCAGGGAAGGTTTAGACTAGATGTCAGAAAGTATTTCTTTACAAAACGGGTTGTTAGGCATTGGAATGGACTGCCAAGGGCAGTGGTGGAGTTCCCATCCCTGGAGGTGTTTAAGAGTCAGGTTGACATAGCGCTGAGGGATATGGTGTAGTTGGGAACTGTCTGTGCTAGGTTAACGGTTGGACTGGATGATTTTCAGGGTTCTTTCCACCCTAGCTGATTCTGTGATTCTGTGACAGGCTGAGAGAGTTGGTTGTCTTAACGTTTTAGGAGCTCTCTCTGTTTAGCCTTCCCAAAGAATTTTTTTAATTTTTCATGGATTCTCAAGCACTGCAACCTAATAACAAATAACCATTTTAGAAATACCCTGAAACATGCATGAGGTATCAGTTACATCCCCTAAGACATAGATGAACAAAACTGTAATTTTCCTAAAGCCTGCAAAAGTAATCAATCCAGAAAATCTATATAAGCTAGTAAAATTACATGAAGGATAATATATAGAGAGGAAAATGAAAAAAACAATCCAAAAATCGTTATCTGGGAGAAGAGGTACAGAAATTTAATAGAGATTGAAAAGAACAAGTACTGAGAAAATAAAAAAGGCTTAATGAAGGGACAATATCACCATGATTCTTTTCCTTAGAAGCACAGCAATTCCCCATTCCCAGATCCTAGGAAATGACTGGCATATGACTCCTCTCTGCAGCTTCCTCAGGAGGGCAAGTGGAGAGGGAGGTGCTGATCTCTTCTTTGCAGGATCCAGTGGCAAGACACATGGGAACAGTTTAAAGCTGCACCAGGGGAGGTTTAGACTGGACATGAGGACACACTTCTTTACCGAGAGGGTGGTCAAACACTGGAACAAGCTTCCTAGAGAGATGGTTGATGCCTCAAGCCTGTCGGTGTTTAAGAGGCATTTGGACAATGCCCTTAATGATATGCTTTAACTTTTGATCAGGCTTGAGTTGGTCAGGCAGTTGGACTAAATGATCATTCTAGGTCCCTTCCAACTGAATCTATTCTATTCTATAAAATACACTGAGAGTTTGAATTACTAAACAATTATGCAATCTGGAATTGTACCACTGCATATTCAAAAAAACAGCACATGTGGAAATAAAAGTGTCAGAATTCTAGATACAAGTGGAAAGACTACACAAAGTTAGCCTTGCACACAGTGTTTTGCACTCTGCCCCCCCCCCCCCCTCTCATAGATCTACTTACAGCAAAGTAACTTCAGTTAAGAGGATGTAAATATTCTCATTTGTGAAACTGTGAGATGTTCACTGAATTATGAAACATCAGGTTTTGTACAGCACACTTACAGTTTGTGGTAAAATGAGATACAGGTCTTGATTATGGGTTCCAATGTGTTACATGAAAAATAAAAGATTAATAATAGATCTTTTTGCTATTTGCATAGAATAGTATGCCTGTAACATAGCAAAAGATAAAAAAATGTTTCAAAGCAGTGTTCTACAGCTATAAATACTAGCAGAATAGAAATCAAAGAGATGTTACTTATGAAGTTACTTTTACTTCTCAAAATGCTCCATTTCTGATAAATAGTATTACTTCCTAGAACAAATATAACTGATAGCAAAGTAACATGTAACAGAAGCCACATTTAAAATTTTTACAGTGAAAATCTGTACAGGACAGGACATTTTTTTATTCACTGTATGCATTGTCTCAAGGGAGATAAAACTTTCTTTTCCTGAAGAGATTACAAAACCTCCTCTTTGATCTGTTTCACAACGTCATTCTAAATCTAAAACAGTTTATAGGATAAAGTGAAATGTCTGCAATTTAAAGAAGGGTTTTTTTCATGCATACCCCCCTGCTGATTGAGACTCTGCATTTCCCTTTCTCTGCGATCTAGTTCAGCTGCTTTTCTTTCCAATTCTTCTTGACGCTTTAGCAGTTCTGCCTGGGCCAAGGCATGCTCCTGAACAAAATAAGCATTGTTAAGTATTGATAAAAAATGTGAACACAAAATAAATATTCCAAGTCTATTTTCTATAATTAAGCATCTCCAGTTATGGATGAAGACTGACCTAATACTGCACGAATTCGTGCATTTACTGATTAAAGGCAGTATTAATGTTCATAAATCATTAGGAAAGCAATGCTTTATAAAATACATCATTCCAGAAGTGTATTTAAATAATTAAAAGGAATCTAGTGCCTGGAAGTTAGACAAACCTTTGCAATTTGTGTGTAAGCAGGTGGTTCTTCTGTTGGTTTCATTATTGCTGGCTGGGTACTGGGTACATTAGGCATTTTCACATTTCCTGGAGGAGGCTAAGAAAACAAGAGACAATTATAGGGAAACAATTTCCTATTCTAATAAACATCTTTTCATAACTCTGTAAGAACCAGTCTAGTTGTTTTAAAGGATGTGTTACTGATAAACTGAAAATCTGATATGCTGTCTGCAATATTTATAACTAGGAAAAAAGTTAACTATATTCTGTGGTGCAGTGTTTTGCTTATTTGCTTTTACACTGCACTACTTGCTGTAAATATACATGGAATTTTAGGGTTCAGTAGAAAGTAATTTTGTTCAGACATAAGTAAGGACAGTTATTGTTTAAGAGAACTGCAGGACTTAACAGTGATCTATTCTTATTCTGAAACACAATGCCATTTTATTACTAATGTATTCCACAGCTTTCTACATAACAAAGGCTTGTATCACCTGGCTAATTAGAGAAGCAATGTACCATATTAAATTTTCCAATTCAAGATCCATAACCGATTTCTTAACTACTCCACCAGTACGTACTGTAGTATCTAGCCTCAAGTACCACTGGCACTTTGTTCAATTGGTTACTACCTATAAGAATACAGCTTACAAGAACCTTTTAGTAGCTCAGTGCTCTTTTTTAAATAAATACTCTCCTGCTTATTCCCATTTGTCATCTTCTCTGACTTTCTCCACATCTCTATTGTGCACAATGTTAACCAGTAGCTATCAAACCAAGGAAAAAACTACTGCCTAGACTTAAGTCATCAATTGAACTTTTCAAAGCAGTCCAGTGTAGCACTACTATGATGTTATTTTATTCTTAAATATGCTTGGGGGGAAACTACAGTTCTTTCTTTGTGGAGAGCTGGCAACATGAAAGGCTTCCCTGTTCTGTGATCCTGTAAGAAAGATAACCACTTGTTCCTAATAAGACCAAAATCAAGAACAAAAATATGGTGAGTAGTGTGATGTTTGATACAAAAGTACCTTAAAACAAAGCATGAATCAACTAAATACCACTAATGTAGCAAATTATAACTTGGCCCAGATTATCTGCATCTTTTCTAACCATCTTTTGAAATACAGAAATGCAATACACAGAGGAGAAAACATCATGCCTGAGTAAACTCCACCTCTGTGTGTTATATTGCAGCATATCTCAGCAACATCAGCTGATTCCAGCATTTTAAAATTATCTTTCCACCTCATACATCAGCTCCTAACAGAATAACCTCATACATCAGCTCCTAACAGAATACTGATATATCAAAGAGGTCTCATTTCTCAAAAATGCTCGGTGAGTTAAGATCTTCACCCTAAGAAAGATTAGCCAGTGCTGTAAGACGTAGACAGCTGAAGACTAAGTGCCAGGTCCTGCACTTGGGTCACAACAACCCCACACAACGCTACAGGCTTGGGGAAGAGTAGCTTTAGAGCTGCCTGACAGAAAAGGACCTGGGGGTGTTGGTCAACAGCCAGCTGAATATGAGACAGCAGTGTGCCCAGGTGGCCAAGAAGACCAACAGCATCCTGGCTTGTATCAGAAATAGGGTGGCCAGCAGGACTAGGGAAGCGATCATCCCCCTGCACTCAGCACTGGTGAGGCTGCACCTCGAACACTGTTCAGTTTTGGGCACCTCCCTATAAGAAAAACACTGAGGTGCTGGAGTGTGTTCAAAGAAGGGCAACAAAGCTGAGGAGGGTTCTAAAGCACAAGTCTTGTGAGGAGTGGCTGAGGAAACCGGGGTTATTCAGCCTGGAGAAAAGAAGGCTGAGGGCAGATCTTACTGTTCTCTGTAACTACCTGAAAGGAGGTTGTAGCGAGGTGGTGATGGTCTCTTTTCCCAAATAGCAAGTGATAGGACAAGAGGAAACAGACTCAAATTGTGCCAGGGGAGGTTTAGATTGGCTATTAGGAAAAATTTCTTCACCAACAGATTTGTCAAGCATTGGAACAGGCTGCCCAGGAAAGTGGTTGAGTCACCAACCCTGGTGTAGATGTGGTCCTTAGGGACATGGTTTAGTGGTGGACTTGGCAGCGTTAGATAAACAGTTGAACTCAATGATCTTAAGGGTCCTAAAATGATTCTATGAAGCTGATTAAAGACAGTTAATAGTGCTATTCCTTACGTTGGAGTGTTCCGTGATAAGAAAGAAGGCTTGTATGAGAACTCCTACCAAAACTAGACATTTATCACCTTCTGCTTCAAATACAAGATACAAAACTTGCAGCAGAGTAACAAAAAGATACTGAACAAAAACTCTTATGCATTATGCATTGTAGGCCAGAGCAGTGATACAAAAGCCGAAAGTCTGATTATGATAGCTTCATCGCTAAAGTAACAATAGCTTTGAAAACATAACTCATAAGCAGCTGCCTGCTAAACTAATGAGTAAAACTGTTCACAGTCTCCAGCAAGCACTGCAGTAGTCCTCCAATAATACTGTAAGAAGTTATAGTACCTGTAATAGTGTAAAAAGGTGGATTGTCAGACTAGAAAATATTTGAACAATGAATTCAAAATATTCATCGTTGAAAGATGCTTTGTCCAAATAGCCTACAATGCTGCTAATGACTAGAACATGCATATATGCTTATGAATAAAGGAACCAATCAGAAAGCTCACTAGAGCTACATAATCAAAGACATTAGCCAACAGCATAGACGATATATGACATTAATATGGAAATAATTATGTACAAGATTCTTCCAATTCAGATTTCTACATTGTTTAGGTTCCACTATATGCTAGCTGGCCATCTGTATGGTGTTAGACTTGCTGTCTACTGTGCATGCAATGACAATTGTGTAAAATACCCAGTGCCTAGTTAAGAGCCTGTGCTCCCTAGAAGAAATGAGACCACACCAGTGATTTGTATAAGGGGCTGTGCATCCTGGAATCCTAAGTCAAGAAGAGCTGGGGAACAAAAGCTGTTAGATGTTACAAATGCTACCCATTCCAGCAGACACTGAGACCTGGGGACTCCCCCTTTCCAACTGCTGGAGCCCAGCCCAACACACCCTAAGACCTTCTGAGGGCTCTTCATTCCAAGCTGATAGAGACAGCTATGGCCTTCCTGTTTCCAGCTTCAGCTAGTAGCAAGCTGAGTGCCTTTAACAACACCCCCACATAACATTATCCAAACTACATAGAACACAGGTACACAGTCACAACCCATTCCTCTCCAGCTGATCAGCACTGAAGTTCTCTATTGAAAGCACATGCCTCACTCAAGATTTACAAGCACACCAACAGTTGCAGATCCCTCAGAGTGGCAGGCCCTCAGCCTGTCTGATATAGCTGCCTGGATCTGGAGCTCTCTTACCTGGTATATGGGTTTCCTCCCCTTCGCCAGCTAGCCCAGCTTGACATTCACTGGAAAATTCATGCACTCATACACTCATGTCACAAGCAACCTCCACATCTGCAGCTCCCTCAAACGCCAGCATGGGCTCTCAGCTTATCATACGTCCAAGTCCAGACTACAGACTGCCTTACTTACTTTTGGCTCAGTCTTTGAGGCTTTCCAGAGAGATTTTTCTCCTATTTGGCAGTTAGTCCAGCTTGAAGTTTGCTGGTGAATTACACATATATACACAGAGGAAAACACACTGGTCCTTCAAATGCTGGAAATTCAAACACATGGGCCCTGTGACGCATGGTCCCTCCAGCTGTTGACACCCAGATGCTCAGCTGTTGAAAAAAACGAACGTATGGACCACTACTACTTCGGGTCTGACCATGCTGCTGACACCTAAGTCTCTCACTCTAGTCTCTCCAGTTGCTGGCCCCTAGACTTTGCAGCACTCACAGATGTGGTAGTGTGAAATGTCACAAAAAGAGAATTAAGAAAGGATTTAACAATAACTGCAATGATTAGGAACATGGCTGTCAGACAAGTGTACTAACTTCTCCAGTCTCCTTATTGCTCCTCCCCAGACTCCAACTGTTCCACATCTTTGACCACTGCCCTTGTTGTGGTTTAACCACAGCCGGCAGCTAAATACCACACACCCACTCACTCCCCCCATTGCCCAGTGGGATGGGGGAGAGAATCAAAAGGAAAAAAAAATAAATCCATGGGTTGAGACAGTTTAATAGGACAGAAAAGAAAGGGAAAATAACAACAAAAACAATAATTAGAATATACGAAACAAGTAATGCGTAATTCAGTTTCTCACCACCTGTTGACCAACGTCAGCCTGAGCAGCAGCCTCCAGCCAGCTTTACCCCTAGTTTATATACTGAACATGACTTCATTTGGTATGGAATATCCCTTTGGGTCAGCCACCTTGGCTGTGTCTCCTCCCAGCTTCTTGTGCATCTCAGCCTACTCACTGGTGGGGTGGGGTGAGAAGCTGAAAAGTCCTTGATTCAGTGTAAACGCTGTTTAGCAACAACTAAAAGATCAGTGTGTTATCAACATTATTCTCTTCCTAAATCCAAAACACAGCACTGTACCAGCTACTAGGAAGAAAATCTACTCTATCCCAGCCAAAACCAGGACACTTCTAAATATTACTTAACAAATTTTGCACAGTCCCACAGACTCCCCTCAACTATCCATAATATTCATGCTTATCTTGTTTCTTCCTTATCAGTTAAAAAGTCCATGTTGACCCTTTTCAAAGTCCCTAAATTAGTGTCTGAAGAATTCCAGTCTTCCATTTTGCCTCTGTTATATCTTATCTATCAGGTTTGTGCTTCTGCCTTTGTTTACTGCTTTCCCTTTTACTTATTACTCCCTTATAACTGAAATAAGTCTATAACCTTAATGAAGCAGATGCTCTCACATTCTACATACCCTTACAGTAACCAGTATGACTGACTTGATTACTTGGACCATCATGGAGGTTTGCAACTGAAAGGCTACCATAACTTTTACAAGGATGGTACGTGATTAAGAATCATGCATACCTTTGGATACTCTGTAATAATATGACTGGGATTATGATCCTCCTTCAGGCCTTAGACCCTCAAAAACCATACAGTCATATCATTGTAGTAACCTGAAGGAAGACAGTCCAGGCTTACTATTTCAAGAACTGCAA